ATGAGTGACAGACAAATTCTAGAATTTTCGAATTATTCTAGAATCTGATGGAAAAGTATGGAATAATATGAGCGAGAATATTGATGAAAAAAATAGTGTTTGTATCTTAGTGAGAAAGAGAGAATCTTTTGCCAAAAGTGTGTTCTTATCAAATGAATGTCACATACCCATATCATTGTCTCTTTTTCTATTTATATGAGATATTTTTCTAATAAACTTTAATAGTACAAGTGCAGAGAATATCCACTAGAATATTCTCTTTAATATCCTATTTCGAAAACTAGCCGTTACAGCTTCTTCAACGGTGCTCAACCTCGACCATTGTTGACATCTCGACCACGGATCTCGCTGCTTCCTAGTCGACCTCGACAGATGATGACTCGAGGATTCTTTATTTAGTGTTATCTTATCTTAAATATTCTGAGCAGATTTTGACTCATACAGTTATATTCATGAGTAGAGTTGTCTCGTTCTTATCAGATTCCAAGATGACTATCGGATCATGTGAAATTTCGAATTAATAAATAAATCTCTTTTCCAAAGAAGATTTAATTTACTTAACCTCTTTGAAATTGTTCGGAGGATTTTTCGAAGGACCTCTAATCTATTAGTGAAAGATTTTACGTGATATGATAAAAAAACTTGGAAAAAATTGATTAATTTAGACTTCCTCCACTGTCCACAAAGAGCTTCATTTACTTGTTCAAGGCATCAATTCTTGGTCACATGACGTTTACACTTAATTCGAGCACGGTCTGGAATAGGGCTGGGCCAATGTATAAGTTATGATTCGACCGAACTCAGTAAATTTAATTCAAATTTTATATTTTATAAATTATTAATTTATAGGTTAATAACTTAAAATAACAAAAATCCTGAAACCATAAACTACACTTGGCTCCGCCTCTTACTCGAAAATAATGCAAGGCTTGAGGTAGCAAGAAAAAACACCAAATTGTATAGGCTCGAGGTGCCTTTCCTAATTCTTAAAAGAGGACAGGTGTTTAATTTAGTGGAAATTGATGATGCGTTTCAACTTTTGTTGGAGTTGCATTAAGAAAATCTCATTGGGTTATTAAACTAGGGAAAGATTATTCTTCTACATAGGAGACAAAAGACACAAAAATAATTTATACTAGTAAAAAGAAGACATCATTTTGCACTCTCAATATCACCCGCGACAAAGGATTTGTTTAATTTATATATATATTGTTACAAATTCTTATTGAGGTCAAAACGCGAAAACCATTACATTAATAGTCACTCCAATAAGTAAAGCGTTTAGGTTTAATGTGCTTCCCTTGATAACTAATTAGTCAACTAATGTTGCTTTTCAGATTCACGCCCATTCCATCCTTGTTTTATTTTTTTATTTTTTTTTGAACCACTTTGGAAATGAGACCCCTTAAAAAATCTAAATGTTAAGAACAATTTATAGTGTTTGCAGTGTTTAAGCAATAATTCAAGTTCAACCTTTTCAGGATTCGACCTTGTCATCATATTGGGTCATTAGTTAAAGAATAAGGGGTATCATCCAATAGCGTTTTGCCAAAGATATTCGCCAAATAATGTATATGTATATATAAACTTAATAAGCATTAATTTGAAGAAAAGAAAAGTAAAATCTTAGAACCTCTATAATCCCAAACCAAACTCACAAACGTCGAGTTGTGATAATAGATTGAATACGTTAAAAGCAAAAATTCTTGCATATGCCCCCCTAGACCAAAAAGAAAAAGAAATAAAGGGAAAGAAAATGAAAAAAAAAAAAAAAGATGGAGAAAGAAACATCATGAATTATTATTATTATGTGGGTCCTAAAAATAGTAAGCAATTTTGTGTGGCAAAAGAGGAAGGCAGGTGTCCATTGATCCAGAGTAGATGCCCAAAATGCCTGGAATATTTAGCTTATGATTGGTCACTCCACACCTAGTCTTTACCTGCATATCCACTGGATATACAACATTACAATGTATTCAAATTATTTTGACATTAAAATATGGGGAAAAGGAAGAAAAAGTTTAATATTCAACTCTTTATAATAGAATAAAAATGTCATTACCTTTGGCTTCTAAAACTATGGAGCATGACGGATATCATGATGTGTTCTTCTTCCTCACATTTAAAATAATCACAGTATTTGGTCCTAACCCAACTAACTATCGTCAAAATATTCATACCATTGCTATTTTGTATGTAAATGCATACATTAAACCTATTATTATAAGAGTAAGTGATAAAACTATTTCAGGATTTTAGTTGCACGATATAAAGTAGACAAGAACGTTCAAGGTTCAAATCGCAACATATTACTGTAATTTATAGCATATATTATCAACTTTTTGATGTGCTAAACATTCCAAAGATATCATTTTGTAAAGTGCATAGTTAGTTGAAGGGTAGTTAACTTGGACGATAATATGTTCATCCGAACTCAGTATTTTCAATGTGCATCATCGATATATATATATATATATATATATATATATATATATATATATGTGAAAACACACTAAAATCTCAACAAATACTACATTTGAACCCAGATTTTAAAAGCACAATGAGTTCAATACTAAAAATATTTAACTCGAACCAAATTTAAATTTTGAATCTGCTTCTGCCTAGACTCAACTTCTTGTTAATGGGAGTAAGAAGTAATAGAAAATAGTAGGCGTCACTTTTAAACATAAATGGTTTGATGTTTCCTCTTCATAAATGCTAATTCCACCAATGTTCTGAGACAATAACTTAGCTGAATAATTAAGTATCGTTCTTTTTTTAATCCCTTTTTTTTAAGTTTGTCTGCTGCTGTGGCATTATCTAAGTAACATTTTAAATAAAAGGGATAGAGCTTTTTTGCTGTATAACTAGATTTCCACCTTGTTATTATGCGCATATACTGAGTAATAAAGCTTCTGTTATGGCTTTTGAAACAGAATTTTTTGGACTAGAGGGATAAGCAGATAACAAAATTTATTCAGTCTCGCGTGTGCTCAATGCCCACTAACAAATAATAAAATGCACACCCTAATACACATGTCGACATTCTAAGGTTCAACAAAAGTTAGTTCATTGGATTAATACAATACAATTACATACTGCATAATTCATGAATCCTATTAAGTGACAAAATTTTCTCGTATAAACAAGATGTTTTTTCTCTTTTCCTAAATGAAATATGTATGCTGTCACTATCATGTACTTGGTACAAGTATACAGCCTATGGCTGGAGTCGGACATATGACCTAAAGCATTTTTAAGCTCCTGTTTTCACTAAAGTGGAAGCTTTTTCTAATGTTTTGAATCAAGATCACATTGCTTTAACAACATGTCATTAAGGTCTAAGATTTGCTTCCTTATATATATTTTTTCAATTTTTTTGTGGACGTAAGATTTGCCAATGATTTTACATTTCAGTACCCTCCCCTTTAGGGACTCGAGGTCCTTTGTGAGATTTACCCCATCATCATAATCTCTCAAATATGTGGTGTTTGCCTAAATCCATAATTGCCCCACCATCGGCCAAAGTTGCACACGAAATGACTCACATATCATCTATAATAGCCCAATTCACTTATGATATTGTCAGTTTTAGACTTCAACCCGCACATCACGCGTAACAAAGTTCTAATGGTTGATATCCCACATCTCATGTGTTTTGCCAAATTTCAGGTTTGCTTAGAATGTTATATATAATGAGATTCAACAATAAGTATATGTACGTAAAATGAGATATTGCTATCAGCAACGATAATTTGACTTAGAGGATTTACTTGTTCACCTTTGTATAAATGTGTACCACCACTGGCTGCTTAACGCCTAAGCTATTTGTTTGAATATGACAAAGAAGGTTCAAATACTTCTTTCACCACAAGAGAGAAATTTTAACGGGTAATATCTATTGTTGGGTTGGCAGTAAATAATCAGATCTTAGAAGTAACTAACTTTTTGCCCTTAGCTTGCTGAATTGGTGGCTGGTTTATCACCCTTCATAACTTATGTTTCAAAACAGATATGCTCATTTTCTACAATTTCTTTAGACCCAAATTAGAAAAGTATGCAAACATCATCTCTGCCTCTTCAATTCTACAAATCTTTCTGTAGTCAGCAATGACAATCAGAAGCTTGCATATACTGCATCTCACTACTTTGACATCATGACCAAATTTCAGGGATTTTGTCTGCAAATTATCAGCCAAGAGAAAGTCTTTGGCAATGCGCAAATTCTGCATTGCTACCAACCAAGGCATTGGCTGCAGAGCTACTGAAATGAAGTCACCAAAAGCAAATTTTCCTTTTCTTCAGTTTTATACAGCTCACAATTGCAAAGTTTGAACCAACTACAATCTATAAACCAAGAATCTTCAAACATGTACTTATGTCATACTTAAACAAGAAACTCCGGACTTTGCATATATGCTTTGACCTGCCGCAATGAAACTTTGCGACTCTTCTGGAACTTCCAGAACCAGTAGGGAAATTCCAGACTGGAAGATCCAGAATTTTCCCAGGAATTCCTATGAATAATGGAGTAGCTGACTTCATTACATAAAATCACTGTTTACATCATCTTGGCTTTTCAAGTTCCCAAAGAGGCCAAGATCTGTTAATTATTCATTCTTCTAAGTCAATTTATGAGTTAAAACTACTTTTGTCTGTTGGATACCTAGTTCAACATCAAGAAAAAGCACATGAACCAAAAGGAAAAATGAAAAAGAGAGTGTTGAGGCTAGGAATCAGATAAAAAAGCACCTTTTTTTGAAAATACTACTACTATCACGTAGTAAAAGATATTGATATGCTCTAAATCAGAATTCTCTAGCACCCACATAATACAGATTTTAAAATGGCCCACAAGAACCTATTTCACCCTTTTAATTAAGAAGGTTCCAAGAACTCCAAAATGCTAAAGGAAAAGACAGCATAGCTTGGATTTTGCGAAAACAGAATTTATGAAAGGCATTTTCAGCCGAAACAATTGAACCAACAAAACCAATATCCTTTCAAAAAGCCAGAAGAAGATTAAGTCAAGGGGTCAATAAAACGTGTCAACACCAATGAAGAAGGGTCCCAAAGGAACCAATGGTGACATAGAGTTTGATACAAATCTTAAAGGTAAAACTTTTGAGGGTCCCTTTCAGTAGAGAGGCTACTGATGTTTGTCGTCCTCTTATTGGTCCATCTCACTCACATAAACATCAGCTTTTTGGGGATACCATCCTACAATAATGTTTTGACATCATTGCATGCCTCACCCACATGACTGCCAACACTCACAATCCTGAACAAATATTCAATTATAGGAAGGGAAAAAATGATCTCTTTGAGCCACCAACCTTACACAGCTTAAAGAACAGATATAAAATGTTGCAAAGAAAGCAAACTAAGTCTTTGATGTGTCTATATTTTATATGAGAAGACATGTGGATTGCACATGTGTACATCTGGATAGCGCCCATATTTAGATATGATAATATTGAGTAGGGAATAAAATCTTGGAAGTGGCATCTAACAAACCAGAGATATGAGATATGCCTGTTTCAATTGATAACTGAAGCAAAAAATGGAAAAGAATATCAGAAACCATGACCATATAGGGAATAATAAAGAATATTGCTATCAGAGGCGGACCCAAGATTTCAGATAAGCGACCTCAAGGCTACCGTAAACACCTAAATATTCTTTATGATTTGTGTAGAAAACATACTGTATATTCTTAATAACTTGAAGGCAAGACTGTCATTTTAGTTTCCACCTAAGCAAATTCTTTTAGGCTCACACTATATGGGTCTGTCTTTTTGCTTTTGATAAGCTAAAACAAAAACGACTGCTTTGACTCAACTCAAATGAAAAATTTCAATTCCAAGTGATGTCATTTTTATTAATTATTGTATTAATCTTCACAAACTTCTCAGAAAAAATTTGTCTTAATCTTCAGGATAGAAGCTAGTCTCCCAAAACTTATATCTTGTTGCTATTAACGATTTAAACTTTGGCAAGACTTTACAAGATTCTACTAATTGATATTCTAAACACATACACAATTTAGCAAATTGAACTATTTATAGACTTTAGGTTAATGCAAATGCATACTTTCCGTTGAACTCCTAGACCTCGATTTAAGTACCAATCTGAGTCTCTAAATTCCTAGATGTCTAAAGTCCTTAAAGGTAAAGATACAGGCAAATAAATCCCGACACTTAAAAATTTCACCATTCATTTATTCCTTTCACTAGAAGAAATACAGCAGTAGGTAACATCTCAAAACTCAATAATCAGAAACAGACACAAAATCAATCAACTTCTCCAAAATCCCGTGTTAGAATATTTGAATGATAGCCTATGAAACAGTTCCCAAATCACTGGATTCAACAAAATCATGAAGGCATTCAAAAATTGGCTAAATATACCAAAGATAATGACCTAAGGACTACTAAGCTTTACCTATTCGATACTTCAGAAAAACAATGTCACTGCATAGCCGATGCTCGAAGCAGGGAGATGCGGTAGCAGACTGTTGAACTAAACATAACACAAAATTTGGACATCTGTGTTTTCTTTTCTTTCTTTTTCCTTTTTGAAAGTTTTAGATGCCTTAGAGAGAAAAGGGCCGGGGCCAGGGGGAGTGGGAGGGAGAAAGGCGGCTGGGGACATTAAAATTGAAAATGAAAAAACCAAAGGTTCCAATGTATTAGAATGCACGATATAAGCCCAACGGCTGAACTCCTTTGCCAGCATTTCGAAATCCGCCTGTGTTCAGTGGACCTTGTACAGAGTAAATTTTTTCCCAAAACGGATTAGATTAAACCTCCTTCGATACAACGAGGGTCCGATCTGATAGCTATACTATATGTTTTAAGCCAAACATATCATCCCAGACAAGACAATTGTTTTAGGTTTCATTTTTTCATCAGCAAACACAAGTTGTCGATGCAGAAACAAAAGCAAAGACACTACAGTACCAGGGGAATATGTCCGAATGAACAATATAGAACCTTACGAAGCCTATTCAATAAAACATTCCACATATACTACTAAACCCCTATGGAAAATGGTCATGAAAACAAGTTCCAGTAGCACATATATATCTAAACTACTTGTGAAGAATAAGAAAAAGACGTGTATTGATGACAAGAAATTTTGATGAATAAACCTACTTATAGGTCTCAAACAAAATACAATATAATATTCGTTCAATATAGGACGTTGCTAAATTAGAACTTAACACTTTGAACATTTTCAACATGCCTCCAACAAAACCAAAGCCAAGCTTCAGGTGCTGAGGCAACCGACAGAGCAGAATTGGCGCCTCACCAGACTTCAGTCGAGGTGCTGCATAAAAGCGATTAACAAGCGCACACCTGGGTTAAGGCACAAGGCCTTTAGCATGTGCATCTTTCAAGCCAAAAAAGGGGGGTTTGGGGGGGGATTAGGATCCAGGAAAGGAAAAGGAAATCTTCTGCAGGAGCAAAAGAGACAAACTCATGAGACTTGAGAAGACAATAGAGAACAAACAACTTGAGAAGATCATCAACGATCTCAAACGGAAGAAGTGCAGGAAAGAGAGATCTTCACAGAATTCTTCTTTCTTCTAATTCCTTTCTTTATTTTTTTCTTTTGGTAAACATTAGACTGCCTGCATCTTTTTTTTCCTCTATTTCTTTTCTTTTCTCTATTGGGGAAAATAGAGAATCAAGTTCTGCTGCTAAGCCTCCATTTCTTGTTTTCTTCTTCTCCTAGTGCGCTTCTTCTTTCTATGGCCTGTGGAAGCCTCTGTCATTTTTTTTTTCTTTTCGGGAAAGAGATAACTATTTATAGTTAAGAGACATAAAGTGATTTGTCTTTTGATGATAATCAGAAAACTCAAAAAACTTAATTAATATACACCAAGATGGTGTTAGGTTTATTATAAAAACATTAAATAGAAGGATGCATAAGCTCCCCAAGAACCAAGCTAATCGTCTATACAGTAAGGAACTTCCTGTTTAGACCAAAAGAGCACTAGGAAAAACAGAGGATTATAATTTAACAATGAATGTCCAGTTCCCTCAAACGTTATCATACTCCTCTCTCTCTGCATTTCTAGAAATTTATTGCACGGAGCGGTTCTCCATAACTTTCTCCTATCACATTTAGCTTATCCAATCTCCAACTCACCAGTACTCTTTTCTCGAGAAAAAAACAATGGATGTTGAAAATGAAGAACATCATGGCTCATAGTTTTGTTGCAGACTTACAATAGGTGATCCACGCGTTCATCATGATTTTTACACGTGAACACCAATTGACCACTATGCATCTCCTTCTTCTTGGGTTGTTAAAATTGGCTTTGAACTCAAGTAAGGTCGTTGAGTTGTTAAAATTGCTCTCGACATTGCATACCATGTAAAAAGTACCTCTTAGGTACCTCCATTTTCCATGTTGTTGACCAAATGGATATTGTACACCTTCATCAAGTAAGAAGTTATAGATGTCGTCATGTCGTTACTTAAAAACATTTTCATTAGGAGCTAAATTTGGATTAGTATATAAAAGATTTGGACTAGAGCAAGAAACTAGGTTAAAATAAGTATTAGGTTAGAGTGGAATGAGAATTTGAGAGTGAGCAGAGAAGTAGGATTCCAATCCTAAACCTAAACCTAATATAGGAGCAAGTGAAGAATTAGGATCCCAATTTAACCCAAACCATAGACGTAGTCCTTATTCTAATCTAAGTCCTAATCCAAGTCCTTGTAGTAACACAGGTCTAAATCCTAAACCTAATATTTGTTCCTAATTCTAGCACCCAGTTCTACTTCTAATTCTGATCCTACTACTATCATGGGAAACTTACTCTATTCATCAGCTTCAGCTTTAGAAAAGCAGCTATTTGGTCTGAATGGAGCTCCAAACAAACTTGGTTCCAAAAGACAGCATGACCCACAAATAATTACAGGACCAAAGCCGATAAAATCAGCACATGTGATACTATGTGTGACTAAAGATAAAAAAGTCAAATTTTCTGAAGATGGAATTTCTCTCATTCATAATGTTGTAACATAGCCATAGTTTCATTTGGAGGCAGAAGCCAATATGGTAACCAACTACCCATATGGCATTGTTTCATGGAATGTGATTCACTCAAGAATGAATATTAATCTTCAAAAAATGGAGTTTAGGCCTATCTTAACTCCAAAAGCTAGCTATGAGAATTGCCCAAGCCCATAAAAGGAGACAACAGTCCTTTCTCTCAACCAATATGGAAAATTCTGACACTGCACCCTCCACCTATGCCCCAGACCTGAACATTGTGGATAACATAACATGGGGGCCCAACATTGAGAAACACAACAATAAAGATGAGTTTGGCTCTAATACCATGTAAAGAAAATGGACCTTGGGCCTAATTCAATCTCAAAAGCTAGCTCATGAGATGAGAATTGTCCCAAACCAAACAAGGAGAGAACAATGTACTCCTTCAACGAATATCTAACAGAAACAAGAAAAGCACATCTATTTAATGGCTTGTTAATATGAATCCTAATAGCAATTACAACGAAAGTGTGATGCGCCTCATGTATTAACAAATATTGACTAGAGCCATTTCAAACCTTAATTTCATATCATGTATATGAAAGGAGAAAGAAAAATATATATCTTTGTTTCTTTAGGAACAAGCTCTGAGTGAGGTGACATAACAAATGTTAAGATATTTGAAAGAAAAAAATTTAGTTGGGTGTTTGATATATAATCAAGTTATAGTATATCAAATATACTCAAAGGGAAAGAGTAGCATATTCTCTTTAAAAGATATTTGAAAGAGAAGGAAGACCAAAGAACATGAGGACCCATACCTCATGCATGCTAAAAAGGTCTAAGAACGTATATTAATAATATAGATAAATGAGAAAGTGAGGATGAAGAAGCAAAAGTCTATTTCTATCCTATGAGGCGGGGACAAGGGCACAATTGTTTAAGGAACAAAATAAAGCTGTAACAGATATAGGAATGTCATAATTATGAGACTGAGGTGGGATAGTCATTGTGAAGCGGTGTGCATGATTTAAAAAATGATGCAAAACAAAAGTAAAATGCACCCTTGCCTGACACCAAAAGATTTTTTAGCATCAAGAGGGGGATTTTTTCATTAACTTATTCTCCACCCCACCACTCCAATCTTCCATTAGTGAAATGCGGTAATTCAAACCACCCGACCTTTCCAATCTTCTATCCTGTGAACCATCACGTGGAATGGTACTATTACCTCAATCCTTGAAGGTCCAGATGCAGCAGCTCCTAACTCCCATCAGGGCTAACCACCTCCTAATAACACAGAAATTGTTAGCACTGTCACACCTACTCTGCAACTTCATAATACCATGGTAAAGAAGTTTTCAGCTGTAAACCCCTAGAGACAAAATTCTCAACCCCGTGGATTTGGCAATAAAATACTTTGAGATTCATCAAGTACCTAATACTATGAAGATAAGCTATATCCGGATAGATATAAAAGGGGGGATCCACCGATAGTTTGACAGTTCTATGATAGATTATGGTGGGTAATTTGTACGAAGACATCATTTGTGATGTTTATAGAAGGTCTGGAAACACTAGATTTCTGGATAGAGATTGACAAATTCAGTGAGCTCAGTAGGCCAATGACGTGGAAGCTTATCTATAGAAGTTTGAAGAACTGAGGTCTTACATGCTCATTAAAAGACCCTTCATTCATGTGAATCCAATTCCTGTTTCAATTAGAGACTAATGCCTAGGATATTTAACCTAATAGTACCTATAAAAAAGATAAGGATATCTAATCCAACAATTCTAACAGATCGTAAGAAGGAGCAAAGTAGCACGAGGAATCTATCAATGGGATTAACAAACTTCTACTCCATAGTCCAATTACCCTCCAATAACAAATCTGAACACCAAGCACCTACACAACGGTTCCTCAGCCATATTTCCATACTATCGAGTCTTCCACTTACAAACCTTTTCAACTTTCTGTAACCTTACATACAATCGACCAAGAGAATAGAAGTTAGAAGTACTTTATCGATGCAAGCAAAAACCCCTCAATGCCAATGAAGGAGGGGATAGCAGAAAATATTGGGGAGGTTGATGCAGAGGCAATTCAAGAGAGCGTGACACTGAATGGTGTCCACGGGTGTCAAATTCCCCCATGACCATCCAAATTGTTCGAACCACTAAGAGGTGGGCATAAAAGCAGCTCAAATTCAGGGTTATTCTTGGCAATATGGCCATGCAAGTTACTACGGGCAATGATCACATTCACAGGACCTTATGGTCAAAAATTCAGTAAATATGTGTCAATAATAGCTTTCTAGAAAACAATACGCACTTATACAAGAAGCTGACCCACTTGAAAATAATGCAAACTATACATCAACTTGGGAGAAGACGTAAAACCTTAGAACGCACACAGCCCTAGAGCCAAACCTAAACAGGCAATAGGCTGACACATGACTTATACCATCAGCTACAATCGAACTTGTTGAGATATGCAAGGTGAATCTTTCATTTTCAATTTCAGAATGCATAAGGTTAACCTCAAGTTAGAAATGGATTGATTGACCTCTATTCCCCGATTATGTTAGACTTGTGACGTAACCAAGTGTCCTTCTGGTGATGATAAGGGAGAATCAACGGGTACTAGGTGGGCTCACAGAAGGAAATGGCTGCTTAAACTTTTTCAGCAATGTGTTATTCAAGTGTTCTCCATTGCAACAGCCAACAAGTATATAAACTCTATGAACTGACGGAGTAAAAAAGATTTACACAATGAAGTCACTTAAAAGGCAACAGCAGGTAGCTCTCTACACAAACATAAATTAGTAACCTTAAGAAAATGGAAAGCAATCTTCTATAAGGTGAAAGTACACTGATAATGTAAAATATGTTTACACTGTAAGGGCATATAACTTAAACTCTTGCAACAAAGCTGAACAAAGAGAATCCCCTATAATCTGTTTGATTTCTAGTTTGTTAGAGTCAGTTAAAACTTAAAAAGAATTTCTAGCTGGAGCATGTCAGCTCTCGGCTCCATAAATTGAGGTTACAATCACACGAACTTCCATTTTAGCTTCTTATAATTGTTCCTTATTTCTTTTACTCGCAATCAGTAATCACAAGTTCACAACAATCACGTATCCATATTGCTTCATAAATTCATCCATAAACATTAAACTAATGAGATAAAATAGAATTTACCATTTGTTGGTTCGGTTTCTGCTGATTGAGGAATTACAACTGAGGAACAACGACATCAGTTATCAACACTTTACCCCGTGTAAACACCTTAAAATTGTATCATTTGCTTCTTAGATTGCTCCAGTTTGGAGAGAGCGGCTGTTATTGAACAACTTTTTTGGCTTTTTTTCTCGTTTTCTGAACTAAAATGCGTTTTTCTTCGTTAATGGCATGAGGCCCATTGCCCAATTGTTGAGCGATTGATTCTGTTTTCATTTTTCCTTCTTTCTTTTTTTTTTAGCCGCCAACCCCATCGTTTGGTTTTAGGTATCAAAACTCACTCTAATGTCTGAACCATAGAAATATGACTCTGATTTAACTATCAAAATGCACATGAAATATCAGAAAAGTGAAATTCAAGTATTCTTATTCTACGTACTAGATATATAAAATATGATTAAAACTCAAGCATTTTTTAGTTGTAAAATTATCAGAAAATAGCAATCGAATTTCATAATTATATTTAATCCAATATCAGGGTGAAGAGAACTTTTGACTGTGTAAATTGGTTTGAAAATTATTTATCTTTTAGTAACAATTAATAAATAGATACTTTCTTTAAAGGGATATTGTTAATCTTGTGACTCAATAATTTTTTTGGTACTGTATAGTTGCCTAATTTTATTTATGACCATGAAATTTCTACGTACTAGAGATATTAAGTTGTGATCCATGTTAGAAACCATGTCCAGGCTACATACTTATTCTGTTGGGACCCACCGAGGTCATTGTTGTTGTTGAATTATTTGCTTACATTACAATTACATACTCAGTCATACGCATTCATTTGTATATCATATCTTAGTCTCTGTCAACATTTATTGATACATCACATCATCATTTTTGGGATGATTTTGCATGACATTGTAAGCCCGTGAGACTGGAGAGATTGATGACTTAGTGAGGTCGAGGGCTTGATGGTGAGGATGTTTATAGGATCGGGCTGCACGCCGTATCATATTTTATTGATTTATGCCAGGATTGGCTTGTTATAGCGCTTGGGCTGAAGGAGCCCCTCCGGAGTCTGTACACACCCCCAGTGAGCGTAGGTACCTACTGAGTGCGAGTGCCGAGTGATTGGGAGGATTGAGTGACTGTGAGGACTGAATGGTTGTGAGGACTGAGTGACTATGAGGACTAAGTGACTGGGAGGACTGAGTGAATTGATACTCTGAGAGTATGCTTATGGTTTTATCACTGAGTTGCATCACATTCGACATGCATACTTGACATACAGGCATAGAGATGCATTTTTCTTATGTTGTACGGTATCACGTCATTCATGACTTCTCATACATATTGACATATAGGCATAGAGATATATTTTTCTCATGCCATTTGAAAATGAAATATTTACCTGTTGAAAGATTTTGGAAAAAAACACAGTTTTACAAAACGTACTCATATTTTGGTGATTTTGGTAAAAGATTTGGGTTTTTGCTGATATACTTGGAAAGCGACCTATTTTTCTAGAACTATGAACGAGCTTAGATTTTTATCTCTAAGCTACTTCTTTTATTACTTCCATTATGTTGTTATGAATTGTTGATGGCTATTGGTGTTGGTCCCCGACCTGTGTTCCAGCTTGTCACTACTTTCAATTTAAGGTTAGGTTTGTTACTTATTGAGTATATGGGGTCGGTTGTACTCATACTACACTTCTGCACCTTGCGTGCATATATTGGATGTTGATGTTGATGTGATCGACGGGAGCGAGATTTGAAGACGTACCTGCATTCTGGTTGTAGCTGCCTCTTGTTCACGGTAGCCTTAGATTTATAAAAATATGTTTATGTACATTTCGAACAGATGATGTATTTATTTCATACCAGCTTTGTAAATTCTAATCTTAGAAGCTCATGATTTGTACTACCAGTTCTTAGGAAATTCTTGTATAAAACCAGTTTTATTATCATTTCTTTTCTTAATAAATCTCATTTAAATTAGATAGTTGTTAATTGGCTTACCTGACGGGTTTGGTTAGGTGCCATCACGACTAGGTAGATTTTGGGTCATGACAGACAACCACTCCCATTATCACCCCTCCTAATTGGATTATCCCTTTTGAACTCATGTGTGATGCTAGTGACATAGCGATTGGAGTTGTTTTGGGGCAAAGCATCAACAAGATTTTTCATCCGGTCTACTATGCTAGTAAGACCATGAATGGTGCACAATTCAACTATATCGTTACGTATAAAGAACTCCTTGCCATTGTATTTGCAATTGAGAAGTTTCGCTCGTACTTAATGGGTGCAAAAATTATTGTCCATATTATGCGGCACTTCGTTATCTTATGAGCATGAAAGATTCTAAAGCTCAGTTGATGAGATGGGTGCTTTTGTTTTAAGAGTTTGACATTGACATCCAAGATTAAAAAAGGAAGTGAAAACCAAGTGGCGGACCATTTCTCTCGTTTGGTGGAGAAAGGGTGGCCGCATGATGGCCTTGAAATCAATGACTCCTTCCCTGATGAGCAACTTTTGGCTATTTCAATGAAGAAGGTGCCATGGTTTGCGGATCTAGCAAATTTCCTTGTGTGTGGAATCATCCCGGATGAGTTCTCTTCAAACCAAAGGTAGAAGCTCAAACGGGATTGTCAAGATTATTATTGGGATGAACCGTACCTTTTCCGGATTTGCACGGATGTGGTGATTAGAAGATGTGTACCAGAAGAAGAGCAAGGTGAAATTCTTGGGGCTTGTCATTCTTCTCCATATGGTGGTCATCATGGTGGAGCATGAACGACATCCAAAGTGCTAAGTTACGGTTTCTATTGGACCACTCTTTACAAAGATGCAAGGAATTTAGTGAAAAGATATGATGAATATCAAAGGGCCGGTGGAATCTCGAAGAAAAATGAAATGCCTCTCACTACCATTTTGGAGATTGATATCTTTGAAGTGTGGGGTATTGACTTCATGGGTCCTTTCGTGAGTTCTTGTGGAAATACTTATATCTTGGTCGCGGTTGATTATGTGTCTAAATGGGTTGAGGCCATTGCTCTACCCAACAATGAGGCAAGAAGTGTGGTAGCGTTCTTTAAGAAGAATATTTTCACAAGGTTTGGTACTCTGAGAGCTATCATAAGCGATGGGGGGTCGCATTTTTGCAACAAGGCTTTTGACACTTTACTTAGAAAGTATGGTGTTACTCATAAAGTCAAGACTCCTTATCATCCACAAGCAAGCGGTCAAGTGGAAGTCTCCAACCGGGAGATAAAGAGTATTTTGTCCAAAACAGTGAATGTTAACTGGACGGATTGCTCCAAGAAGCTTGATGATGCATTATGGGCTTATCGGACGGCTTACAAGACACCTATAGGAATATCGCCATACCAGTTGGTGTTTGCAAAAGCTTGTCATCTTCCAGTGGAACTTGAGCACAAAGCCATGTGGGCTCTAAAGAAGTTGAATCTTGATTAGGATGTAGCCGCTAACTTGAGGGTTGCACATTTGAATGAATTAGATGAGTTCTGGTATTATGCTTATGCAAGTTTGTCCTTGTACAAAGAAAAGATGAAATATCTTCATGACAAATACATTTTGAACAAAGAGTTCAAGGTGGGCGATCTCGTATTGTTGTTCAACTCGAGGTTGAGGATGTTTCCTGGAAAGCTAAAGTCTAAATGGAGTAGCCCTTTTGAAATTGTGGGTGTGACGCCCTTTGGTGCATTGGACTTGAAGAACAAAAACGATGAGGTATTCTGAGTCAATGGTCACCGGGTAAAGCACTATTTGGGAAAAGTTGGTGATGGCCACGTCGTGGCGGTGATTCATTTTAACTCATGGTATTTTGCGTCGTGTCGCGACATTAAATCAGACACTTCTTGGGAGGCAACCCATGTTTCTTTTTCTTTTCTTTGTTTATTTTGTAGTTAGGTGTTATTTTTGTGCTAAATTGATTTAAAGTGTGCTACAGGGATGAGTGTGCTTTACAGGAATTGTGGACAGAAATCTGGTTAAGTGTTGAAAGAATTGTAGACCGCAGTTGCATCGTGCGGACCACACAATTATGGTTTCTGCAACAAAAGTGCTTTGCGGTGGCACAATTAACTTGCGGTACGCACAACTGGAAGATGGAAAATGACAACTCTCTGAAGTTGGTCTGTCAGAAAAATGGCCGATCTTCGGCCGCAACACAAAATCTGCGGTCCGCAATAAGAATCTACGGCCGCACACAAAAATCTGCGGACCACAGACAAAATGATGTTTCAGCTTACCAGGTAAGAGAGTGCAGTCCGCAATTGAAATTATGTGGCCGCACTCACTCTTCTTTCCCTTAGAGACTCGATACGTATAAATAGAGGGTTAGGGTTACTGTTACCCTTTTCCCTCTATGAGCAAATACACGGCACTAAAATTGAAATTTGGTGACTCATCTGCACACAAGCCTAGAAATTGTTGATAACTCATCCCTTGCACTCATTCATATCTGGTATGCTTCAATTACTTGTTAGAAATTTTCATTTTTTTAGTTTAAATTATAGCTTTTTAAGTATTTTTTAGGTCATCTGTCATAGAACTCAATTGTACAACCATGTGGGGGTAAATCTGTAGTGGGTCAACTAGTACTGCTAATTGGCGACTAGGTAAATATATTTTCATGCTTTGAAGTTGTTACCATGTCAAAATATGTGCAAACAATTGCAAGCCCTAGATAAAAATACTCATTGTTCGTAATTGTTTGAATCTTGCGGCCGCAAAGAAATTTGTGCGGTCTGTAGAAGTTGAGTCTAGGGCAACTTTAGATAAGCATGAGTTTGTGGCTGCAAGAAAAATTTTGCGGACTATAGAATTTCGATTGCGGCCGCAAAATAGTTGTGCATAGTTGTGGTTCAATGTTAGGCCGCAAGACAAAATATGTTGTCCACAGAAAACATGTTGTAGTCGCACATCAACCAATTCTCTGTCATCAGAGAGTTGGCATATTTTTGGTTTATGAGTTACGGTCACAATGAAAAATGTGCGGACCGCAATCCTCATCTGCGGCCGCAAAAGCAAACTGTGTGGTCCACAAGGCCCTTTCTGCGGCCGCAATGAGAAATGTGCAGATCGCAGATCCCTACCCTGCAACCATGTTTCAATTGCGTTCCTCACTGTGTCTTCTAGTGTGTCCTTACATTCATTGTATGTCTGAACTTGAATTACAACTAACAATTGCCTTTGCTTGGTATAGAAAATGGTTTGATCTAGAGGCAGAGGCGACACTTCGAAAGGAAGGGGAGACCCTTCTCGGGGATGAGGGTAGAGACCCTTACCTTGTGCCCAACATCATGAAATCAAAAAGAAAATAGCTGCCGGGAGAGGGAGAGGTATAGACCTTTTTTAGACCAGTT